CACAGTCTTTTACTGAATAGAGACATTTATTACTGCTGTAGTACTTGTAAAGCCTCTATTAAACTTGAAAATATCATGTAACCTCTCCCTCTTCTCCCAATGAAATGATCAGTCCAGAATCTGATGTGTATATTCATCTTCCTATAGCTACAAGCATATTTCATGGTCAAACTACATTGGATACACATACAGTTCTGACAATACTATGTTATGGTTGTCAAGAACAACTCAGTTCTGACTAGGATTCACTCAGAGAATCCAGCAAGGAGGTTTGACAAACAGTACCATCCAGCCTCTAGTGCAATAAGATCAATACCAATGACACCCGCATTACATTCAAACCCCATACTGAACTATTGAGAGCAAAAAAGACTGCATCTAATTAAGCCTATATTTTGCCATCCAATAGTTTTAAAAGACAGAAACTTGGTGTATGTTTGTATATAATGTCAGCCTGGCTGTGATTACTGGAGTTGTAGTGTATGTGTATGTGTGTGTGTGTGTGTGTGTGTGTGTGTGTGTGTGTGTAATATTTGATAGTGCTGTTTCTTTCTTTTTAAAGTATATTAAATACTTAAAGAAAATGGACAAATTATTTTTTTTTAAATTTGAATTTCAGATCATTTTATATAGGTTTATATGAAAAGATAGCTTATTCTCAATTGGATGACCTCATGTCTTTGGTCCAGTGCACTGACCCTTCTTGGTACTTCAAAGCACACTTTTTCAGTGTCAGAACAAACTTTGCATTGTCTGGTAATATGACAAGAATGCATTACATGATGCTAAATCTGTGTTGGTGCAGTTTGCAGTTGAGCATGACATACTGAATGTAGGCAGTACTCAGGACTTGACAAAATTGAGTATAGGCAGTATTCAAGACTTGACAAATAAGTGAATACAGGCAATACTCAGGATGATATATAAGTGAGTATAGGCAATAATCAGGATGATATATAAGTGAGTATAGGCAATAATCAGGAAATTTTGATTTTTCACAAAACAACAAATAATCAGGAAAATAAGTAAGGTTACAGTAACTGGCCAGGAAAATCTATTTTTCTGGACTTGTTAATTTCCTTGTTTTATAAATGTTTGTGTGTGTACAGACAGACAGACACACACATATTTATTTGTATCAATGCCAATACAGTTTCACTGTACTGTTCAGTCTTAATTGTAAAGTCTCTTACATTGATAATACATATTTTTTCAGATACATGTAGATATACAAAGATTCTTGGAGACTTCTCTGTATAAAAGAAATCAGTCAACAAAAGAACAAACTGTTATGTGGCCAGGTGTTCTTTAATGTTAGGCTTAACTGTATTTCTATTACATTCAAAGGAGATCAATTTGAAAGAATTGGAAAATTAGTCATTCCAAAACTTGTGAACAAAATGGAAAACAAATTGACTTGTTTGCAACAGCTACTTCCCTCTTTCATGCTGCCACCGTTCTCTATCCTTGCAGTCCACCATTTTGCATATGATGTAATCAGACATTAAAGGTTATCTCCCTTTATTTTAAGTAGTCACCTTAGGCTAATTACTGTGACATAGATATCTTGGTATTATTATGGTCTCTAATGTCAAAGTCAGTTGTGAATGGATAATAATCACACCTGTCCATTATTTGTTACCCCATTGGTGTTATTAATTGGTTTCCACATGATAACTTCACTGAGAAATGTTGGATTTTAACCAAATCTGGTATGCATGTTTATATTGATGGGACTTGGAATTATTATATTTACAGCCTTCTATTTGATCTTTTAGAGAAGTAATTGTCCCATATTGCCTGTCTCTCTGACATTTACCCTGGATTGTTGGCTTTCAGCCAGATTTGGAATGCAGCTCTGTATTATTGAGTACTTAATTGAATGAGTTCATTTCCAGTATGTTACAACATCTTTTAAAGGATGTGTCCATGAAGGTCCACTTAGTTTAAAAAGTATATTTCCACCAAGGTTTGGTTTGATTTCATCTGAAATTGCATGGGGCTGTAGATTGATGATATCTTGAATGAGTTCATTTACCAGAATTCCATGTTGTCATTGACATGAATTTGGCATACAGCTTTATATTGATAAGACTGAATGAGTATCATTTAAAGGAGGTAAGGAAGAATCTTATTGATTTTAGAGTCAAAAGTTCAAAGATAAATATCAGTGAAAGAAAAATGAAATGGTTTCTGTGCAATAACATTAGTTTTACATGACAGGCCTAAACCAAACTTTGTGGATGAATTGCACTTAGGGTAAAGAAGAAAGTTATTTTTGAGCTAGAAGGTAATAAGTCGAGGACACTGACTGAAGAAGAAAAATGTTAAAATCAGTTCTACATCACATACATGGTTGAAACCTTGTAGATGACTTGCATTTAGGGTAAGGAAAAAAGGTATTCATACTCATATTGGGGTCAAAAGGGCAAAGGTCGAGGTCACTCTGACTGAAAGAAGTAAAATGGTTTCTGCAACAAAACTTTCAATTATCTACATAGAGGACTTTAAAACATGTAGCAGACCCACATAGAGGACTTTTAAATATGTGGAAGACATGGTGTGCTGTTCACAGTACTCTTGTTAACAATAATGATAAAAATTAATGGAGGGTATCTGCATAAAGAGATACTTTTCTATGAACTATTTGAGATAGTTATGTCTATTTATCATCAATTCTTTTCTATGTGATATGTAAATATTGTATGTGGGGTATTTTTTTCTTTCATTTATCTGCAGAATGTCAATATGGTATAACATTTTCACTAGAAACCCCAATCCCAATCAATTCTTCTACTTAACTTTTTAGTTTGTTATCTTTGAAACAAAATCATGTTTCCTTTGGCATTTTTCCTGTATAATTGTTAAAATTTTGTCCTTTGTTGAAATTCATTTATGGACTACTTTTGATGTATATACAGCATCTTCATCACATTAAAAATAAGGATACTTTGATTTACATTACTGTTTGTTTTTGTTTTTGTAAAAGATGTATTCTGTATTGGTATAATAATGCATTTATGAAAGATTCTTGTTAATCATAACAAGCAATCATGACATCAGCATTTTTTAAAAAGTCTCAATATATTACTGGTACCTAGTATATGTTCAGTGATATATTATAATGTATAATAACCAGGACAATACAGTTCAGTATGAAGGACAATAAAATGCAATATAACAGACAATACAGTATGGAATACAAAACAATATTATACAGTATGAAGGACAATACTGTACAATATACACTTTAATACTGTATGAAAGAGAATACAAATACAATATCCAGGACAATACAATATAATATATAGGATAATACAATACAATATATAGAACAATACAATATATTATATAGGATAATACAATATAATATATAGGACAATACAATATAATATATAGGATAATACAATACAATATATAGGACAATACAATATAATATATAGGATAATACAATACAATATATAGGATAATACAATATAATATATAGGATAATACAATACAATATATAGGATAATACAATACAATACAGTTTTCAAGACAAAACAAAAGAATATGAAGGACAATGAAATTCAATATAAACAAAAATGCAATACAGTATGAAGGACAATAAAATACAATTTCTAGGACAATGCAGTGTACTATAAAGGACAATACAGCACAGTGTACAAGACAATACAGTACAGTATAAAAGACAATATAATACAGCACAATATACAGCATAACATAGTACTCTTTCCAGGACAATACAGTTTGTTATCCAGGATAATAAAAAAAAATAAAATATAAAGAACAATAAAATACAGTTTCCAGAACAATGTAGTATCATAAACAGGACAATGTATTATAATATTAGGAACAATACAATACAATATGAAGGACAATAAAATATAACCTCCAGGACAAGTCAGTTTAATATCCTGCACAATATAATACAGCATGAAGGACAGGACAATACAATACACTTTCAGGGATAATGCTGTTTATTATCAAGGATATTAAAATACAAAAAAGTATAAAGAACAATAAAAAAATATCCTAGCTAATAAAGTACAATAAATAGGACAGTATAAAGATCTGATGTGGCATGGGAGGCACATTAATAACTTTGGGTTATGGAATAGGGTCACTGTAACCTGTATTTCATATTATTACAGAATTTAAATATTAATTATGACCTAAAATGGTATAAATATCTAGTAGATGGTGATTTTGTCTTCATTTTTATACAAATTTATGTTCCTTTATGTCTTACTGGTAGCAAAATACCAAGAAGCACATATGCAAATGAAACACCTGAATATATGTAATGCAGTATTCTTTTGTCCTTCATATTGCATTGTATTGTGTGCTTCATACTGTATTGTATTGTCCTTCATATTGTATTGTATTGTCCTTCATATTGCATTGTAGTGTCCTTCATAATACATTGTAGTGTCCTTCATATTGTATTGTATTGTCCTTCATATTGCATTGTATCGTCCTTCATATTGTATTGTATTGTCCTTCATATTGTATTGTATTGTCCTTCATATTGCATTGTAGTGTCCTTCATAATACTTTGTAGTGTCCTTCATACTACTTTGACCTATTGCCACCTGTCAGCCATGCTAATTGATTCACCAATCAGTGACTGTAGTTAGTCACACCTCAATACATTGTTTATGTCTGCCATTTTCTTACAATAAACTAATTGTTGCAATACTGAATCGGAAGTATGACTAAAATGCGAAAAGTTACAAAATGGTGTGTGTGTGTGTGTATGTGTGTGATAATTATTTTTAACGTAGCTTTTACAATTTTTCTGTCATATCGCTACGATGTCTGCAGTGCGGCAGTGTATAGTGATGTCTAGCAATGGGGCATCATGACGCAGACATGTAGCATGATGTCCCACCCAGTCACATTATCCTGATACCAGGCTGACCAGTCCTAACACTAACCTCTCAATGCTGAGCGCCAAGCGAGGAAGCTATTAGTACTATTTGTGTAAGTCGTTGGTATTACTCAGCCGGGGTTCGAACCCACGAGCTCCCGCATCCGAGGCGGATGCTAACCACTAGGCCACCGGAGCGGTTACAAAATGTTGTGAAACGTTACGAAAAGTTGCGATAAAGTTACGAAAAGTTGTGCGCAAAGTTACGAAAAGTTGTGCGCAAAGTTACGACAAGTTATCTTCATTGCATCATTGCACAAATATATATATATATATATTTCGAAACTGCTTTAAACTGATTTAAAACTTGATTTTGGCTTTGAGAACTAAAGTTATAACTGGTGTGAAACGTGTCATTCAAAGCCGCTATAAAACGCTGTTTGCCTGGTAGCACACATATTATTTGTACTTGCCATCTAAAGCAGAAAGCAAACAGACAAATGGAAGATATAGTTAGGTTTCAGTTAAAAGATCGCCAAAAAGTTCTTTATTTAGTTGTTGTTATTCTGGGTCTTATCACCATTTTCAGCACACGATAGGCTATATATGGCTGTCAGTATTAATGGTGGAGGAAGAAAGCGGAAAATCCGCGGAAAGAACCACCGACCCACGAGAAGCTACTGGGAAGCTTTCTCACATAGCCACATTCGCCGAATCTTAGACTCGAACTCACGCAGACAGAGGTGAGATGGCAATGATCCGTAACAGACGGCGCTTTATACCATTTGACCACTCTGGGCCCCTGGTATAGTGTTTGGCTCAAATGGTCTTGTACATAAAACAGACGTTGACACCCACCCAGAAAGACTAAACCAATTATGTTCTGTAATCGATGACAAAGACTCGCATGCCTTCGAAAAAAGTTCCGCTCCTCCCTTGATTACAAGATTGTATCCAATGCTCAAAGAACACTTCATAGACCCGGTCAACAACGGCAAAATTACAAGCACATGGACAAACAACAACTTCGAGAATGCCAATCACATCCTAAATTCCGCCTCGAAATGGAAGCATGTTGAATTACCAAAGTCGTCAAATTGTTTCAGCAATTAGTGACCGGTGAGCAGTATGAGAGATGTCGTTCCCTAAGAAACATGGGTAATTATCGCCTCAGTGAAAGATATTTACATCACCTTGACGATATTGATCACTGGTCCAGAATAACTGAAGAACAAAAAGATTTCTCAATGATTGCGGTAAAGACCTTCCAAATATGATGTACTCAATAGATGGCAGAAGAACTGCAACCAGAACTTCTGTAGGTCGGACGCTCGTGAAAAAGTGAAAAATATTGTTATCATTAATAACATTCGAAGAAAAAAGAACATTTAAAACCGAAACAAGAATAAAAAATAAAAACGAAAGACTATTTTACATAAATACTCATGTTGAAATTTAAAATATATATGCCCTTGTCAAAGAAATCTACAAAATAAAGATTTTAGAAGCACTTTTCGCACCAGTTATAACTTTAGTTTTCGAAACCAAAATCAAGTATTTATAGCAATTAATAGCAGTTTCGAAATATATATTTACACTGATGCAATGAAGTGAACTTTTCGTAACTTTGCGCACGTTTCTCAACTTTTCGTAACTTTATCGCAACTTTTCGTAACTTTTCGCATTTTAGTCATACTGCTGATTCGGTTATTGTACATATTTTAAAAAATCGCCACTAATTGTCAGTTTTTCGATTGATAATTGCGAAAAGGTGTCATTGAGGGCATAGTATCAAAAGTCAATATCCATGAATGGACTTTATTGATGTTCACATTTTGTTTCTTTTAACAATGTTCATTATATCTGTGTAATGATAAAGTAATTAAAAACTGCATACTATATTTATTGTTAACTATAACATGCAATGAAAGCATTATCACATTTGTAAAACCTTGGTATATTACCGATATATACTGTGTTATTAGTAATATACATTCTGATTTATAATATCCAGGACAATATATAACAATATGAAGGATAATTCAATACAGTATGAATGACAGCATTATGCAATATGAAAGACAATACAATATAATATGAATGACTACAGTACAATATGAAGCACACTACAATACAGTATGAAGACTACAGTACAGTATGAACGACAATATAATACAATATTGAGGAAAATACAATACAATATGAAAGACACTAAAATACAGTATAAAGGATAATGCTGTACAATATAAAGAATAATACAATAGAACATAAGGAACAGTTCAATGCATTATTTAGAATAATTCATTATCAAAGACACTATTATACAATATAGAGAGCACTACTATTCTATATAAAGGACAGTACAATACATTATCCAGGAAAATCCAATCTCAAAGACAATGCAATACTGTAATATCAAGGACAATCCAGTAATACAAAACAATGTCCTTGACAAAACAAAGAAATTTTGATAAGTACAATAATAACATTTTGTCTGATAAAATGTCATCATGACATTTACTTCATACCATTTTACAGAGATTAGGCATTCTTTATATGCAACCAAACCTGTTTTGAAAGACAACCCCTTCTGCCAAAACATGATGGTTTCGAGAGACAAGTGGTTTATCATAATACCATTTAGGACAAATATTCTGCAGTTTCACTCTAATTTGATTGACCATTGTTTGAACCATGTCATGACACGTGCCTATATTTGCACCAGTAGCAATGCCACTAGACTTCCTGCATTATACTGTACATAATGTTCTGTTTGAATAAAATATTTCAGTTTGTAGTGTTTTCAGTCGTCTTTGGACCAACAAAATCGACTCTTCAGCATAATACCAATTATCTTCTAAGCCATCTAATAAAGCATATAATATTGTCTTGAGGCCGAAAAATACCAAACCATGCACACTGGGAAACCAGATTTCATTTCACCCTTTGGCATACAAATTCATCCTCTCTAAGAAACTGATAGTATCAAGGATAGAAATAATGCAACATTCTGCATTTCAAAATCACTACCATGGTTATCAAAAGTCCTTTATATAATATTTGGTCTTTATGGATTCAAAATAACATAAATAAATGCTCATTTTAGATTAAATTCAATGAAATGAGAGCCTTCTATCATCACCATACAAAATTTACAAACCTATTTTACATATGTAATATGGATCAAGTATACTGTACTGTTGATTGCCCACTGGAGTTATGGTTACTGAAAGTGCATGGTCACATTGGAATTATGGGTACTAAAGTAACCAAAAGATTATGATATAAGCTCAATTAAAAATCTTTATGATCATTTACTGAGATAAAATCCTGGACTTTTTGAGAGGATGTGGGTTATACAACAAATGTGGACCATATGTTTTAGGGTTTTTATACTTTTTACCTTTATGTTTCATTTTTACATTTTATAGTATTGTAACATCTTTTATATTTTGTAGTATTCCACATTTACATTTATTTGGAAGGGTATACCTTCCTAAAGTTAAATTTTTTATGCAGTTAATATCTCAGCAAAAATTATATTATTGCAGGCAAAGGACAACACAATTATTTACTGTAAATTGTGTACAAATTAGGAACCACATTTGTGCCATGCATTTATTTCAGTAACACTTGGGTATCTTTATAATGAAGGTCAAAACAGGTTGACTAACGCAATTACATCGAATCTATGCACGAAGTAACATATTCATTGTGTCCATGCCACTGACATACCACAGTTTTAATAAATGCATTCTGCTGAACAATGATTCCCTTTTATCCACAAGAAAAATGAGGCAGAAATATTACCTGATTTCATCTGGCAATAAGAGATTGAAAAAATATAATTCAAGGAAAACATAAAACTAATCACACACTATTGAAAATGTATATTAAGAATTAGTATCCTCACAGTTGTTTCCTTAATGAACTTGAAGAACAATTAGAATATAAGTTAATTGATATAAATCAATTAACTGATATAATAAGAGTTCTCCAATTTCATTAAGGAAACAACAATCCTGGGCGAAAAAAGAAAATCCTGGCATATGACAGTTTAAAATTGATGTAAGACAGAGTTGTTATCAAATGGATTAATAATCCGACACATATAGAAAGATCCATAAACTTATCATTTTGCCTGCAGCCCGTGTAAAATACTTAAACAAACATGTGACCTTGACCTGACCTTTTAACTAGGCCTTTCTTCTGCTAATATGTGGCATATCTAATAACAATGCATGTATGGAAACAGAAGTTATATCCCCTTCATGCTGCTTTTAAAAGTCTACCGCTAAACAATAATCCGTTCGTAATATGACCTTGACATTTGATTCTCTATTCATCATCCCCAAGGATGCGCTATATATACTGGTGAATCTGGTTAGAAATTTATTGTATATCCATATTCATAATGCTATAAGTTTTTCAACTTAAAAGTGTAAGAAACTGACCACTGTGACCTTCACATATTGACAATATGACTACGATGTATCACCTTCTAAGAGATTTGTCACAGATAAAACAAATGCATCTGTTTCTTACTCTAAAGTTTGTTTGAACATGGTGTCCTAAAAGATACCTGGGTTTTTATGAAGCAGCAGCTCACATGGCTGTTATTACAATAATTTTTTTGTTTCAGTCTTATAACATTATCCATGTCAATGCCGTGTTTGTTAACACCTAAAGTACTCTTGAAACGTCGAGAAACATAGAGTAATAGTTTTCAAAACACAAATGAAAAAAAATAATCTTGTATGGGGCTTAAACATTTAGCTTTCTCTTCAAAAATAACAACTCTTGAGAAATGCACAAATTTGGTAGAGTTTAGAGTAAAGAAAGAGTTACGGTGCTGACAATTCAAACAATTATTCACCTTTTGTAGTTATGACCCTTTCCGCACATTGAATGGAAAAGATGTCTCCAACTAATCTGGTTGCCCGTGGCCATTATGCATCACGCTTTCAACTGAAATGGGGTAGACACTGAACCTGAAGATGTAGTGCTAGTATTGTCACGCCGAGTCAGACCAATAAGCATTCCGTATGTATGTATGTATGTGTGTGTATGTATGTATGTATGTATGTATGTATGTATGTATGTATGTATGTATGTATGTATGTATGTATGTATGTATGTATGTATGTGTGTGTGTGTGTGTGTGTGTGTGTGTGTGTGTGTGTGTGTGTGTGTGTAGGT